TATCCATACTCAGGTGTCAAGCATCTGAGTGTAACCGACTGTGACTAGTAATAATCAGATACGTGGAGATTAGAGGCACATGTGCAAAAATTTAAGTGTTAGTAGCATTAAAAATGAGTCTTACTGTAGGAAACTGTATTTTAAAAGGAAATGGAGATCATTTTTAAAGTTTAAAACCTCATTCAATTTTATATCTTATAGGGTTTATACTGAGTACAATATTATATAGCTGTATTAATTCAACTGTGAACCTAAAAAATTTACAGTCAATTTTGAAAGAGATGCATCTTTGCTCAGGAAATTGTTATTGAATATGTTAATACTGTAATGAAATGCTTCTTCTAATCATGTGGTTTTTAAATAAATAATTTTTAAAAACCCACAAAATATCAAGTACTCAAAAGATGAATATATTTGGTGAAGGTTTTGATTGCTAACAAGCTAAGTATCTCTTCTAACTAACTACAAAATAAGTAGTAGATTAATTAATCAAGTATTACCTATATTTAATCAGCCAAATCCTTATAATTTAAATATGTTGGTCATTCCACAGCTTCCTTGGACATGAGATAAACATCTTATGAATATTTAGAGAGTATTTAGTATATTTATTTTTAGGATCTCTTATCACACCCAGGTTATAAGCAGAAATAGCAAATTGACAGAAGGCACTTATCCATGCATGCTACATTAAAACAATAAAATTTCAATCTGTTTCTGAGCCTGTCTTCTGCAAGGCCACATAAAAGAAATAACATTGCAAGCAAGTTTTTCTCTTCTTAAAAAGGAATCTGGGAGGCTGGAGAGATGGCTCAGTGGTTAAGAGCACTGGCTGCTCTTCCAGAGGACCTGGGTTCTATTTCCAACATCCACATGGCAGCTAACAACTGTCCATAACTCCAGTTCCAGAGGATCTGACACCCCCTTCTGACCTCTTTGGGCACTGCAGGACACTGGTGTACCTATGTACATGCAGGCATTACACTCATACACATAAAATAAAAATAAATAAAAGGGTTTGTTTTTTTTTTTTGGCTTTTTTGAGACAGGGTCTCCTTGTAGCCCCCGCTGTCCTGGAACTCACTGTGTAGCCCAGGCTGGCCTCGAACTCACAAATCCACCTGCCTCTGACTCACAAGTGCTGGGATTAAAGGCGTGTGCCACCACTCCCGGCTTCTCTTTTTATTTTTAATCCACTAAGTCCAATTATTGTTTCCCATATATGCTGGCCAGTGGGCCAGTGGGCATGTCTCTGGGGCCTTTTTTTGATTCTTAATTGATGTAGGAGGCCCAGCCCACTGTGAGCAGTCCCATCCCTGGGCAGGTGGGTCTGGGCTGTATAAGAAAGGTGGCTTAGCCAGCCAGAAGGAGCAAGTGGGTAAGAAGCATTCCTCCATAGTCTCTGCTTCAGGTCCGGGCAGAAGCAAGTGGATCTTTGTTAGATGAAGGCCAGCCTGGTCTACACAGTGAGTCCAGGCCAGCTGAGGCTACAGGGAGACCCTGTCTCAAAAAAGACCAAAACCAAAAGAAACCTAATGGATGGGGTGGGACTGTACAAGGGATTGCTGGCAGTTCAAAGTTTGGTGGTGGATGCATTGTATGCACATGGTGCATTTATATAGATCCAGGCAAAACATACATACATACAAAATAAAAATAAATAAATCTTTCAAAGGAAAATTATTTCACAGTGACATGTGAGTCAAATGAACAATAGGACATTAAAAACTCAAAAGATTTATATATTTAGTATCAGAGTTTAAAGTATACGAAGATAAAACTGATGGATATGAAAACACAAGATAAATAGGAAAATTTATAATTACAGCCATCAATTTCAATATCACTTTCTTAATAATTGACTATACAATAAGCCGAAAATTATTTGAAACAGAGAAGGCTAAAACAAGGCTATCAATTAACTTAACCCCATTGCTATTTATAGTACACTCAAGCAGAATGCACATTCTTTAAACACGTGGACCATTTACCAATAAAATCATACAGATTCTATCTTCATACAAACTGGAATTTCATTTCATTAAAAATACTTTATTATTTTTTAAAATTTCTATCTGTATGAGTGTATTGCCTACATGTATATAAGTGTTCTCTGCTTGTGCAATGGCCATGGAGGTCAGAAGAGGGCATCAGATCCCCTGGAATTATGGATGGTTGTTAGCTGCCATGTAGGTGCTGGGAACCAAGCCTGGGTCCTCTGCAAAAGTAGTCAGTGCTCTTAACTGCTGAGCCATCTCTCTAGTCCTGGAATTTAATCTTAAATGGAGATCAGAAACATGAAAAGAAATCCCTTAAGATTTGGAAGTTTAACAGAAGACTTTGAAGTAACTCACTCATTAAAAATAAGTAACAAGGGAGACTGGAGTTCCAGGCCAGCTGGGGCTACAGGGAGAACCTGTCTAAAAAAGACAAATAATAAATAAATAAATAAATAAATAAATAAATAAATATTAAAGAATTTTTTAAAAAAAAAGAAAAAACCAGCCAATGAATTCCAAAGTTAACTCAAGAAGTGAGAGGAAGGATAGTTCTGAATGAACTTGTAACAATCAAGGAAATTGAATGTGTATTTAAAAATAATCTTCCTGAAAAAAGACTCTAAGCACTGATGATTTTGCTAGTGAATTCTGCCAAGCATGCACAGAAAAAAATACACCAATGTTGTATAAACTTGTCACAAAACTGGAGTGAGACTATTCCCCAGCTCATTCTATGAGGTCAGAATTACCCTTATACTAAAGTCAGACAAAAAAAAAACTTAATTGGAATAAAAACTCTCTAGTAGCCCTCATGCAAAAAGATCCATTAAAATCTTTTAGGAGGTTAGTTCAATAATATATAAAGCAGACAATACTTTAAGTGAGTTTTCAGGGATGCAGAATAAATTTGTTGTCTGAAAATCAATTATTACAGTTTACTACACAAGGAGAGAAAGGAAAACTATGTGATCTTTCCTATAGATGAAGAATATGCTTTGCAGAAAACCTACCATTTATTCTCATTTTTTTAAAAGAAAACTATGAATAGGAGAATTTCCCTCAACCACATAAAGATCATTGACAAAAACTTACAGCCAATGTTATATTTAGTGTTGAAAGCCAAGTACTTTCCGCTAGTGTCGAGAATGAGACAAGGTGTCATCTCTCAGCATTTCCATTCAAAATTATGCTAGAGAGTCTAGCTAGTGCATCAAGTCAATAAAAAAGAAAAACAATGATCCACATTGAAAGAAAGTAAAATAAAAGATTTTATTTGCTGGTAACTCAATCACCTACATATATAATCCCATAGGACCTATAAACTATCAGAATAAGTAGATTTTGTAAGGTTGAAGACACTAGAAAACTATGTAAAAGCAATTATATTTTATATTCTAGTAATAAATGGCCACAAATTGAAATTTGTTGTGGCTTAAAAGATATATATTACAAATGTATACTCTTAGCTCTCAGGTGTACATTACAGTCCTATTTATCACATCCAGAACTTCTCATCTTGCATGGCTCTAATTCTACTTACTGATCAACTCTCTCATCCTCCCCTCACCCCTCATAGCTCCTATTCAATTTTCTGTATCTGTGAGTTTATTTTATTCATTTTATAAACATAGAACCCTATAGTATTTGTCTTTTGTGAGAAATTGAAAATGTTTTAAAGAATGCCATTTAAACAGGATAAGTGACATTTCAGTTTGAATCTGAAATGTTCCCTGAAAGGCTCATTGTGGTGGTGTGAATGAGAAATGTCCTCTGAAGGCTCATCGTGGTGGTGTGAATGAGAAATGTCCCCTGAAGGCTCATCGTGGTGGTGTGAATGAGAAATGTTCCCTGAAGGCTCATCGTGGTGGTGTGAATGAGAAATGTCCCCTGAAGGCTCATCGTGGTGGTGTGAATGAGAAATGTCCCCCATAGGCTCACATATTTCAACACTTGGTACCTAACTGGTGGCACTGTTTGCAGAGGTTTAGGAGGTGTGGCCTTCTGGAGGAAGTAGTCACTGGGGGCAGGTGTTGAGAGTTCATAGCCTCTTCCTTTTTCTGGTTTACTTTCTCTGCTTCCAGTGCCTGCTTGAAGATGTGAGCACTCAGCTTTCTGCTTTGGCTGCCTCCAGCCATGCCTCCCCCCACCCCCCATTATGGACATTCCCTTTGGAACTGTAAGCCATACTCTTTCTTCTATAAGTTATCTTAGTCATGGTGTTTTATCACTGCAACAGAAAGGTAAGTAATACACTCATGTTTTGGATGCTTGGTGCCCAAACCTTGGTGCTACTTTGAAGGCTATGAACCCAGTAGGAGGTAGGGCCTGGCTGGTGGATATAGGTCATTAGGAGCAAGTCTTTGAAAGCTTTGGAAGCCCACTCCTGGGTTTATCCTGAGTTCTCTGCTTCCTGTGTACTGTCATGTGAACAAACTGCTGCTTCAAGGTCTTACTGCCACCGACTGAGCACCCGCCCGCATGCCTTCCCTGCCACAATGGGCTTTACCTTCTGAAATCACAAGTCAAAAAAATCTTTTCTCCCTTAAATTGTCACAGCAATACATAAGTAATACAGAAGACTGGATGCAGGTCAGTGCTGTCATAAACCTGATCATGCTGTTCTTTGCCCTTTGGAGCTGGTTTATGGGAAGAAGAGTTGGAGATGAAGGCTAGAGAAGCCTGGCGTGCTATAAGCAGAGATTAATAGGCCAGTCTGGTGTTAATTTGGAAGACTAATGCTTATGGGAAAAGTAGTTGGTTGACTGTGCTCCTAAGGTGGGAACAAGAACGCTATTAGTAACAGTGTTAGCAGCTGCTCAAGTTACATTCTGGCAAATAATCTGGCCACATTTTTCCCATGCCCTGAAAAAATGAATGAGGCTAAGTTTGTTAATTTATTTGGTAGAGGAAATTTCAAGGCAGCATAGCATGCAGGCTGTGGGATGATTGTAACTGGCTGCTTTTAGCCAGATTTTCAGTGAGAACCCAAAAAGGGAAGCAGAAAAGAGTGTGGACCTAAGGCTGGTGTGGACAAAGCAGCTATAATTGTTGAAAGGTGCCATTAAAGAGAGAAATGTGTGCATTTTGCACTGGGACAACAGGAATGGACAATAGAAATTGCGCCCTGTGAGCAAGGCCGGACCTATCAAAGGCTGCAGGGTGTCAAATACGGCCCCATTTGAAAAACTCATTTTAAAAAGTAAGTGCTTGGGGTTGGAGCGATGAGAGTTGAAAGCACTGGCTACTCTTGTGGAGCACCCAGGTTCACTTCCCAGCATCCACATGGTAGCAAACAGCTGTCTGGTGACCCCAGTTCCAGGAGACTGATGCCCTCTTCTGGCCTCCACAGGTATTGAACACACATAGTTCATTTATATACATGCAAGCAAAACACTCATACACATAAAACACAAATAAATTCTTTTTTTAAAGTAAGTGTTTGAAAAGAGTTGCAAGGTTACCCTGCCTGAACAGGCCAGCTAGGAAAGTATTTTCCCAGAATCAGTGATCCAGGCACTTGGAAGCTGCTTTTCAGTCCAAGGGGGCCTAGCTTTGTCTCAAACTAGTAGCAGAACTTGGCATTGTCCAAGTGGGTGCTGCTTTTGAAGGCATGAAGAATAGAGAGCAAGTTATGGGTTATGAGTGCTTGCATGGAGTTCCAGAGTCAATTCTCTCCTTCCACCATGTGGGTCCTCGGGATTAGACTCAGGTCATCAGACTTGGTAACAAGTACCTTTATTGGCTGAGCCATCTCACCAGCCCCCTCCCATTTTTTATGCAGTGCTGGGGATTGAACACAGGGATTTGTGCATGTTAGGCAAATACCCTGCCAACTGAGTTATATCCCTATCCCCTAGACCTGGGATTTTTGAAAAGTTCTGAGACTATTAAAACTATGGGGGCCTGGCCAGGCATGGTGGTACATGCCTTTAATCCCAGAACTCTGGAGGCAGAGGCAGGCAGATCTCTGTGAGATGGAGGCCAACCTGGTCTACATAGTGAGTTCCAGGCCAGCTAGGGCTACAGGGAGACCCTGTCTCAAAATAAAAAATAAAAAAATACAATGGGGATTTTTATAGTTGGACTAATTGCATTTTCCATTATGAGATGGCCATGAGCTTTAGGGCTTGTAGTGGAATGTGTTTGAACCTGCACGGGTACTCACAGGCTCATGCTTTTGGCACAGAGTCCCCATCTTGTGGTGCTATTTTAAAGGCTGTGGGACCTTCAGGTCTGGCTGATGGAAGCAGGTCACCAGGGAACAGCCTGTGGAGGTTATACCCATGCCTGATTCAGTTCAGGAGCACTCTGCTTCTTGTCTGCTGTGTTGTGAATAAGCTGCTACTGCAAGCTCCTGCTGCTACGGTCTGAGCCACTTCATCTGCCTGCCTGTTCTTAAAGGAGTGCAACCCTCTGTCTCCATGAGCCAAAACAAATGTCTTCCCTTAAACTGTCTCTATCAGGTACTTTGGTCATAGCAACACAAAGTAACTAATACAGGTGTGTAAATATAGTGAAAACTACACAATATTGATTAAAGAAATCAAAGAATACTTAAATTAATGGTGAGATAATACATTTTAATGAGCTGAAAGTACAGTGTTATTGCCATTACAATCTAGTACCACCTCAGTGCTATCTTAATCAAAGGCCCTTTTAGACATTGTGTAAAAGCTGTTAGACTGATTTTATATTTTATTTGAAAATGTAAGGGACCTAGAGTAGTTCAAATATCTTTGAAAAGAACAAAGATGGAATTTACAAAAGTTAGTATAAAACTATGATAGTCAGGGGAGGATGGTAACAAACAGAAAGGACTATCAGTGGGACAGAATGGGCCCACCCAGACTCATAAACACCATCAACCAATTTTCCAAAGAGTTCAAAACTGAAGAATAAAGAAGGATAAATTTCACATGAAAATATACTAGAAAAATTGGAGTTCCATATACAAAAATGTCAATCTAAACCATATGCAAATTTTTGAAAACATTTTATTCATTATTTTTATTTTATGTGTATGAGTATATTGCCTGCATGTACGCAAGTGCACCCATGTCATGCAATGCCTGTGGAGGTCAGAAGATAAGGTTGGATTCCCTGGAACTAGAGTTATAGATGGTTGTTAGCTGCCACGTGGGTGTTGGGAATTGAACCTGGTCCTCTGCAAGAACAGCCAGTATTCTTAACTGCTGAGCCATCTCTCCAGCTCCCCATATATTAAAATTTATCGGAACTAGATCATAGATCTAAACATAAGAGATAAAACTATAAAACTTCTAGAAGAGAACACAGAAGAAAAACCTTAGCATATGGAATAAATTTGGGGTTTGAGAAAGACTTTTTGAGATAGAATTTTATTGTACCTTTTTTTGAGATACTGTTTTATTATGTTGCCCAGGCTAGCCTTGAAATTATGGTCCTCCTACCTCAAAAAAAAAAAAAAAAAACCAAACAAACGAAAAAGAAAACAAAACCAAAAAAGTGTTGGTAAACATGTAGAGGAACTCGCATCCTCCAGCACTGCTGAGGCAAATATAAAAGTGCAATAGCTACTTTGGAAAACAATGGGATAATTATATTGAAGATGAAAAAAGAATTGCCTATCATATGATCTAGTCATTCCCATCAAAGTGTTTACTACAAAGGAAATGAAAGCCTACATGCACAAAGTGACTGCGCACAAATGTTCACATCGAATTTTACAGTTTTATATGTTAGCCAAAACCTAGGTGGAGCACAGGCACCCTCACAGTGAACAGATAAACTGGGATACCTATGCAATAGATACAGCGATGAACAGAATGGCATGGCAATAAAAGAACAGGCATTTAATACCAGCATATGGATGAATCACAAAATAATTATGCTGAATCAAAGAAGCCTTGGGAAAAAAAGAGTGCTGATAGCTATTACATCATATATGGAACCAAATGCAAACTGAGCTCAAGTGACAAGAAGCACAGGAGCAGCTGTCTGGTGATGGGGCAGGATGAGAGGGTGCAATGTGGGAAAAATCTTCATTTTTCCAGTTGTTGTATTAGTTTCATACACATGCCACATTCTTTAAAGACAAGTAGCTTAGTCAGTTATGCCTTTTAAAACCTCTAAAAATTTGCTAGGCATGGTACAGCATGCTCAGAAGGCTGAGGTAAGAAGACCGCTTCAAGTTTGAGGCCAGCCTGGACTGCATAGCAAGTGTCAGGCAGGATTACATAGCAAGACCCTGTCCCAAAACAAAGCAAAACAAATTTAATTTTTTAAAACTAGGGCTAGGCAAAACCAGTGTTAGGTTCTTTTTTAAAACCTCTTTGATGACCTAAATCTTTGTAGGATTTAAGTCAGAGCAGAGAAGGTAATACATACTTAAGGTAGTCTGTCTCTCGTTGAATCCTCATGATCTCTGTGCTTGTCAGACTCTTCTGGCCAGTTATGTGTGCAAAGCCAGGAGACTAAAAGTAGAAACACAGACAGATTAGGAACAGATATACAGTCAGTTAACTTACTAAAGGTCAAAGGAAAAGCCCATTCAAAATTCATTTTAATGCTTGCTGCATAGCACCCAGAATTGTGTGTGTGTGTGTGTGTGTGTGTGTGTGTGTGTGTGTATTTGAGACAGGGTCTCCCTGTAGCACCAGCTGGTCTGGCACTCGCTATGTAGACCAGGTTGCCCTTGATCTCATGAAGATCTGCCTGCCTCTGCCTCCTGAGTGCTGGGATTAAAGGCACATGCCACCACATCAGGCTTCAACATTCATCTTTTAAAAACTGTCCTAAGTTTATTATTCCAGAATCCAACATTTAGAAATGATTTAGTACTATTCATAATCAGATATGTAGATATACTTTTTGCCTTTTTGAGACAGGGTCTCCCTGATGCATATTTTATTTTAAATCAAAATTTATAATAAAAAATATCTGAATTTACTATCAGTCAGACCAAATTTTAGAACTAGAAGACTAAGGTTAGTATCCATTTTTTAAAATATTATATTTACTACTTTTATTTTATGTGTAATAGTGTATTGCCTGTGTGTATGTAAGTGCACCCACATCAGGATTGCCCATGGAGGACAGAAGTGGAACTGGAATTATGGATAGCTGTTAGCTGTCATGTGGGTGCTGGGAACTGAACCTGGGTCCTCTGCGAGAGCAGCGAGTGTTCTTAACCACGGAGACATCTCTCCAGCCCCAACTATCTGGTTTTTTTTTAAAGATACTATTTCTAGAAAACTAAAAGTATTCACTTCAAATAGCTTATTTGAATCAATTTTCTGTGTTTGATGCAGGGAAGGGGAAAAAAGACAAAATATTATATAGTTCCTGTCCCTAAGGCATACAACTCATGTATGTATAAAGTAACTGAAACAGGATGGCAGTTTCACCAAGGTAACACATTTGGGCTGAGTTCCATGGGAATCTAGAAGAGGGAATAACTCCCTTTGCACACTCCAGGACAGAAGTGCTTTTCAGAGGTAATAATAACCAACATAGGCATGGGAAAGTAGAGGAAAGTTTGCAAAGTAGATGGAGACGAAAGGAATCCCTGGTAAAAGAAACCTACAGGCAGAGGCTCCATGGCAGGGCTATGTATGGTTCATGTTGGGATGTAAGTGGCTTGATGAATGGGACAGAAAGAAAGTCTGGTGGAGAAAGTAGGAAAGATGAAGGGGAGAAGCTGAACCATTCTACTGACAGTGGTCAAATGCACCTGGCATAGTGCAGTCACTCTCTCCTTGAAACCCACAAAAACCCTATGAGTGGTGTCATGCTATTCCCACTTCATTAAACTTTTATAACATTTATTTATTTATTTGTTTGTTTGTTTGTTTATTTGAGACAGGGTCTCACTGTGCGGCCATGGTTGGTCTAGAACAGACTATGCAAACCAGGCTGGCCTTGATCTCACAGATACCACCTACCTCTGCCTCCCCAGTGCTGGGATTAAAGGTATGCACCACCATGCCTGACTTGAGAAACATTAATTTGGGCTCCACAGATTCCCTGAAAGGATCTACTGTGTGCCTCTTACATAACCAGGTACCAAGTCAGAAAATCTAACAGTGATTTTATTATCTAATCCACAGATCTGCATTTAGACCTCAGCATTTATGCCCATGATGTCCTCTGTAGCTGTGTATTTTTTCCATCTAGGATCCAGTCTAATATCACACGTTGTATCTTATTTGTCATTTCCATTTTGTCACCTTTGATTTGAAGTGGTTCTTTAGCCTTTCTTCATTTTAAGATTTTTAAAGAGTAATAGGCCAGCCAGGCATAGTGGTACATGTCTACAATACCAGCATTCAAGAGCAGAAGCAGGAGGATCACCAGAAGTTCGAGGCCAGCCTAGTCTACACAGTTCAGGATGGCCAGGGCTACACTAAGACCTTTTGAAAACAAAACAAACACAACTAAAAAGAACAGGACAGTTAATTTGTAACAAAGGCCGTGTGGAATTTTCCTTTGTCTAATACTTCCTGTGACTGAATTCAGTGACCCATTTTGGCACACATTCCAAAGGAAGGACGCTGTGTCCACCTCAGTGCAGCTTGTCAAGAGTCTCACAATACTCCTTTCTGAGATGAGGATGCTGAAGCTCACAAAGTTACGTGGCTTGAGTTTACGTTAATAGTGTGGGCACTAAAGTTCAGGGCTTCAGACTTAATTCTGTAGACAACAGTGAACAGTCAGAGGTGTTTTGCCTGTTTGTTTGTTTAACATGTTTGTGCTATACCTAACATGGCCTGTACCAGAAATTATACACTGGTGGTCTATTGTCCAAATATGGTGAGCCACTGAGCTTCCTTTGGCCTATACACCATATATATTAGTTCCCACAGTGCTTTAGGATTTGGATTGTCAAAATTTTTAACAAGGTTGGCATACATAATGATGTCGGTTTCTGTTTTCTCGTGAAAATTCATCAGTGGCAACACTGAACCTGAAGTCCTTCTTGTCAGTGACTGTCTGCAAATGAGGAGAAATGACCATTCTGGGTGGCTAGGACATTCTACATCATCACAGAACCCACAAATCTTGTGACCTCACCCTAAAGCCAGGAGTCAGCTGACATTTACCTACCTGATGCCTCACCCTGAAGTCAATTTCAGGCCAAATGCTTAGATCAAAGGTATCTTGTCTCCCTGAAGGCTACTGACATGTTGTAACACCAAAATAATTCTGATATTTTTTGAAGCATACTTCAGACAAGTTTGATGGCATGAATCTCTTACAAACATGAAAACAAAGAAATCTTTTAAAGTTTTGTGGTCCTGGGGGCTGGAGAGATGGCTCAGTGGCTAAGAGCACTGGCTGCTCTTATAGGAGACCCAGGTTTGATTCCCAGCACCCACATGACAGCTAACAGCTATTCCTAACTCCAGTTCCAGGGGATCTGATGCCCTCTTCTGACAGCCTCTTCTGACCTCCATGGGCATTGCATGACACAGGTGCACTTACCTACATGTAGACAATACATGCATACACATAAAATAATTAATAAATAAATTAAATTAAATTAAATTAAAAAAGACTTTCTTCTGAAGTTACCTGGGACTGGTGGGTGAGAGGTCTAGAACCTGTTTCTTCATGGTAGGCTGGGATTTCCAGTGGACTCTCTGAGAACCGAAGATCTTTCAGAGTTCTTTCACCTACCTTGAGGTCTATAAATACATTAAAAACATTGTTTTGTGAGCATCTTTAACCATAAAAAACCATGAAAATATACTTGGAAACCTTCCAATAAGGGAGGATTGTTATCACATTTTTTCCCTAGGGGCAACTATTATATAGCCACCTTCCCTAACACAGTGATATAAAACAGAGAAAGAAATAATAAACTCAGTCTAAGAAAACAGTACCCCTGCTGCATTTGACAACATTCCATGTCAATCTGGGTAAACAGATCAGTCCAACTGCAAAGTTAGCAGGTAACATTATTTCTCTCAAAATGCATTTCAGCTAAGAAAATTCAAAATAGATTTCCTTTTTGAATGGTTATCACTTATTTACTGAGAAATCTTGTTCCAGAAACTTTGCTATTTGAAATAGTTTCAGTAAGACCTCAACTCCTGCATAGAAATCAGAAGTCATTTTATTGTTTTTTTAAAAACTTGATTAGTAGGTGGGGTTGGGGGATTTGTGCATGCATGCTACAGCATGTAGGTGGAGGTCAGAGGACAACCTTCAGAGGTTGGTCCTCTTGTTCCACCCTTGGTTAAAAGGATCAAACTCAGGTCATCAGGCTTGCATGGCAAGAGCTGTTGAACCATCTGGCTGGACCCCAAGTCACTCTGACATAAAGAAGCAGTCTCAATTTCTAACCCTGAGCTAAACACATTCCACATGTATCGTCATAGTTTCCAAAGTAACCAAATTTCAATCCATACCTGAAGTTGACCCCTTCATACAGAGCTTATCTTTGCTATCAAAACTCTACTTTCATTTAAACCTCAAACTCCACTCATGCCCCAAACTTTGGTGAGGCATGCCATAGTTCCTTCAATGAATTAATCAATAAACCTAACTTTGTCAGACTGCTTAGTTGTCTCTCCTGGTCTTATCTGCTAGCTAGAATAACTAAAAATTCGAATTGTAGCCCACTTTCCTGCCCTTCTTATTCCAACACTTCTGTACAGAAGAAAGCATGGAGTGAACACACAGTGAGCCTGCTTAGTGCATTCCTTCCATCACATCATACCTTCAAGCCTTCTAAGGTTAGCATTCCAAGTTGATTTATTTCCAGCATTCTTATACTTCTTCTTTAATTTTGGTCCAACAGAACCATTTTTTAGCTCCTAGTAATAAAGAGAGTAAATGTCACTTGAGCATATCCATTTAGAATGTGAAAATCAGAAATCACATGATAGAGACAGTGCCATGGTGAAGATTTACTACTAAGTGACTACAGTAGTTTTTATAAAGCAATGGGTTTCCTTTTACTTTAGAAACACACAGCTTTGTATCTGAGCTGTTTGGTGAACAGAATGTCTGGCTGGTAGGCCTCACCAGGTTAAGTAGTCAAGATGGGAGACAGGTTACAGCACATGGATATTGCCATCATCAGAGCCAGTATACCACAGGACTGTCAGATTCAGAGGGAAAAAATGGGGTGGGGTCAGAACAAGATAGGACTTGTATACACTACCTGCCCACACAGCCCTCAAAACATTCCTTTCTAGATTTTCTTCTCCATGGACTTTGTCCCTTATATCTGATTCAAAGCTGAGTGATGGCCATCCCTGCCTTGATCACACCATAGCCCCACCCCAGGCTTGTACCCACTGCTCTAGTCCCACCTCTGCCTCAGGGCCATCGCTGGGCTTAAGTGATACCCCCTCAAACTTTCTCTGTCACCCCAAGAAGCCCATGACTGAGACCTCCTGGTTTTCTTACTGGGCTAGTCCACTTTCTGGTCCTCTTACCTGGATCCAACTCACTGATGACAACCTACCACTGAAGTCTCAGATGTCTTTCTTAGGTAGATCAGATTAACTCTCCAAGGAAGTGAAAATTTGCAGGGATTTAGGGCTGGCTATTTTAATAGAAGTCTATGTCCACTGGGAGCATCTACTAGCCTGATTAGTCTATTCACCAAACATATAATGATCACCTCTCTTGCCTGCCCTGAGCTAGACTGAAAGTATAGCAGCCATGCCCTCTGCATCTTGGAGCTTGCATATGGGAAAGACTGACAAGAAACCAAGAAATCACACACTTAAACACTTTTCCTGAGAGAAAGTCTGGTGTAGTGCATGACAGAACAGAGCACATGCAGCTTAGTTTAGCTGGTATGTATGCAGGAGTTCACAGACAGCACAAAGGCTAGCTGAGCACAGAAACTGATTATCTGGGTGGCAGGTTAATGGTTTTGCTTTCTTTCAAAGGCAAGAAGAGTCATTACAGACAGCGGAGAGCAGGCAGTGATGCTGGGTAAGAATTTTGATCTTTGAGATGGAGGAAGGCTTGACCAAGGCTGGGCAATCAGTGAAGATTCTTCACAGTGGTTGACACTGACTTAAATCATAGGGACCTGACTGTGAGCAGAGATGATGAAATGAAAGGGAAGGTGTACCTATTGAGCAAGAAGAAACTAAGAATACAGTGATAATCTGAAGATATTAGAGTTTCATTACTTGCCTGCTTTGAAAAATCTTTAAGAACATCTTCAACCTTTTCTTCAGAAGAGACTATCTTTGGTGGTTCATAGTCTACCTGAAACACCTTTGTTACAATTCCACTCTGTCTACAGTCTCTGAAAATTATTTTTAAAAAAAGAAGAGATGTTATAAAAATATTCAAGGTAAAGGTGACTAGTAATTAAGATGACTCTCAAGTACCTTAATGTCACTAAATTTATTTTATTTTTACATTGGGAAAATTACAATTTCAGCTGAGGTGGGCCTGGCAGTTGGGGAGTGGTATGAGTGGGGGTTGGGGTGGTATCAGTCCTTAGCAATGGTTGTGGTACCCTAGACCATGCTCTGGTCCAGTGGTGTTCACAGAGACCCAGGACAGTCAGTGTGCAGTACTCCTTCATACCCTGCCTGACACCTTGCAATGGTCTGAGTTCTCAGTACATGTCTTGGCCCCATGGAGCTCAGACCCAGAAAGTATTGATACCTGTATCATCATCCCAGGTCTACACTAGATCTTCAGAGAAATTCCTAGAAGGCCAGGCATGGTGGCATATGTCTATAATCTCAGCATTCAGGAGGCTGAGGTAAGAGAATCACTGTAAACTCAAGGCTAGTCAGGGTTACATAGCAAAACCCTGTCCCAAACCAAAAGACAAAATAAAACAAATTCCTGGGAGCTGGGTGTGGTGGCACATGTCTTTAATCCCACCACTCAGGATGCAAGAGGCAGGCAGATCTCTGTGAGATCAAGACTAGTCTGGTCTACATAGCAAGTTCCAGGCCAGCTGGGGTTATAGGGAGACCCTGTCTCAAAAAATAAAAACAGCTCTTTTTCACCTAGCAATAATGAAATACACAAAAATTCAACAAAAATAAATAATTTTTTTAAAAAACAAAAAAACAAAACCAAATTCCTGGAGCCTTATACACATCCCTGGCTTTCCCTCCTGTAGTCCTATACAGCCTGAATAAGCACTCCTAGAATCTAATGGTAGAAATAAACATAATGCATAGACTTCAAGGGTGAGAACTGAAATGGCTTACCAGCAAAAGGCCAACAGAAGTCTCTGATAAAAAGACTAATGTGGGGCTGGAGAGATGACTCAGTGGTTAAGAGAACTGGCTGCTCTTGTAGAGGACCGTGGTTCGATTCCCAGCACCTACATGGCTGCTAACAACCCTCTGTCATTGGGGGCATTGCAATATACTTATATGCACAAAATAAAAATTAATAAATAAAAAGTTTTTGGGGGGGATTTTTTGAGGCAGGGTCTCCCTGTAGCGCCAGCTGTCCTGGAACTCACTATGTAGACCAGGCTGGCCTTGAACTCACAGAGATCTGCCTGCCTCTGCTGGGATTAAAGGTGTGCGCCACCACTCCTGGCAATAAATAAAAACTTAAAAAAAAAATGTGATTTTTCCTGAAGGATCATAATTGTTTTAAAATGGATCTTCTAAGAAGCATCTTCTTTTTAATTATTTCTGGTCTTTTGCTCTGAGACTAGAATTCTTAGCTTAGCTATTTACCTGATACTAATCAGGAAATGCATGGTATTTATATTTAAAATGTACTTAGTTATGCTTAGCGACCTCATATTTGACTTCTTTTATTAAAGTAGCTTTCATCTCTATTATTGTCATTTTAATATGAATAAACAGGAGATTTAAGCCAGTAGATATTCAGCACTTACAAGCCTTGGGCCTCTAGCATTCAGTACCATGAACTGACTGCTGTTTGCTCTAATGATGGACTCTGTTCATTTGAGTGGAATACATTTTACTGTGAACAGTACAGCTGATGATGATGTGAAACATAAAAACATAATTACTATTGAACACAATGGAGTTTATCCATAAGAATAACAACTGCAGTTAGACTCTAGTGAATGCCTTTAATCCCAGCAGAGGCAGGCTGATCTCTGTGAGATCGAGGCCAGCCTGGTCTATGTAGGGAGTTCTAGGTCAGGTGGGCAAACAGAGAGACCCTGTCTCATAAAGCCCAAAAAACTCTTTGAAAGACAAAATGTCTTTTATATAAATGTCTAAAATATAAATTCCAGGGGCTGGAGAGATGGTTCAGTGGTTAAGGGCACTGGCTTCTCTTTCCAAAGACCTGAGTTTGATTCCCAGTACACATATCATAGCTAACAATCATCCCTAACTCCAGTTCCAGGGGAATTCGACGCTCTCTTCTGACCTCTGTGAGCTCTGCATAACACAGGTGCACTTACATGCATGCAGGCAATACACTCATACACATAAAATAAAAATAATAAATAAAATATTAAAATATAAATTCCAGTCCTGTTGCATTCCTTCTACCGTTGCTAAAGCATTAAACATTAAATGAAAACAGTCAGTTTTCACAGCATTCCCTCACCTCTTTCTCTAGTTACTGTGCTGGGTAGTTTTCGTCAACTTGAAAAACTAGAGACACCTGGGAAGAGGAACCTCAGTTGAGGAATTTCTTCCATCAGACTGGCCTTGTGGGGCATTTTCTTGATTGTTAATTGATGTAGGAGGGTCCAGCCCACTGTGGGCAGTGCCATCCCTGGGCAGGTGGGCCTGGGCTGTATAAGAAAAGTAGATGAGCAAGCCAGGGAAGCAAACCAGTAAGCAGCATTCCTTCAGGGTGCCTGCCCTGCTTGAGTTTCTGCCTTGGCTTCTCTCAGTGACGGACTATGATCAGGACGTGTAAGCCAAATAAGCCTTTTCTTCCCCAAGTTCCTTTTGGTTATGGTGTTTAATACAGCAAAGGAAACCAAACTAGGACTACCCACTGCTGCACTGCAAACTATCCAGAAGCTAGTGCCCTAAACCCCAATCCACGCATTAACTTGGGCAGATCTCATTTGGCCTCTTTCGTGTGGTTACCATCAGATGTCAGGGCTTGACATCTTCTTTCAGGAATGCAGGACTTAGGCCAATCCGAATCAATCTCCCTCCTACCTCCTCTCTCTCTCTCTCTCTCTCTCTCTCTCTCTCATTTTACATCCCCACTAGCATTATGTGAGGGTTCTAGCTTCTCCATGTACTAGGTGGCACTTGATATTGTCAGCTTGTTGACCATGTGCTGATCATGTTTTCTGTAGATACTTGCTTGAGATGTGCCAACCTTGTGTGTTAGGGTACGGGTTTGGACACTATAACACAGAACCATAAAAAATGACTTGTTTTGTTTTGTTTTTTGGTCTTTTTGAGACAGGGTCTCCCTGTAACCCTAGCTGACCTGGAACTCACTATACAGACCAGGCTGTCCTCAAACTCACAGATATCTGCCTGCCTCTGCCTCCCAAGTGCTGGGATTAGTGCACCATCACACCCGGCTTGACTTAAAATTTTCTTAAATTTTATTTGTATGAGTGTTTTGCCTGCATGTATGTAAGTGCACCCATGTCACAGAATCCATAGAGGCCAGAAGACAGCATTTGATCTCCTGGAACTGGAGTTAGAGACACTGTTAGCTGTCATGTGGGTGCTGGGAACCAAACCTGGGTCCTGTGGAAGAGCTGCCAGTGCTCTTAACCTGAGCCATTTCTCCAGCTCCCAACATAATGACTAAAACACAACAGCTGTGGCTGGGCATGGTGGCACATGCCTTTAATCCCAGCACTCAGGAGGCAGAGGCATGTGGATCATTGTGAGTTCAAGGCCAGCCTGGTCTACATAGTGAGTTCAGGTCAGCTGGGACTACAAGGAGAACCTGTCTCAAAAAAAAAACAAAAACAAAAAAAAAAAAAAAAAAGAACTAAGACCGAACTGTGTCTGTAATCCCAGCCCCCAGGGGGCTGAGG